AAAAAAAAAAAAAAAAAACATCCCGGAGGCCCCGACGCCAGGGTCTTGCCGCTCCCACTCTTTGCGATTCCAATCAAGTCATGTCCGGCACCCAAGATGGGCCAGCATTGGGCCTGAAGGAAGGGGAAAGGTGCCTAGGGGTTCTGAATGGTAGCCTATGAAGTTAAGGGAGTTAACAGTTCAGGGTGTGCAGTGTTTGGAGTCTAGGAAAATTTCAGAGGATTCTCAAAATGGGTGTCCGCCTCCATTTGATGAATCCCCATTTTTTCACGGGAAGATGCTTGCAAAAAATACCACCAGGATTGAAAATTGACAAAGGACAGACGGGAAAATGCAAGGTTGCAGGAGATACAGTTGCCCAAGGCTCAACTTCTGAAAGCAAAAGACTTACAGGGAGCACAGTATTGAATGGATAGGGTTCAGGGCTGCTGGTTGGCCAGCAATGCAATTGCCTGCAATTCCGAGCGTCCAAATGGGGTCGTGCACTCTGCGCCCTGAAAATCCAAGCAGGTAAAGCACGCTTCAGCATACACGTGCTGCATGAGGAGGCATACTGACAGCTTCATCGGAATCACTGTCAGTGGAATTGGTCTGGGTTTACTCTTGACCTCTTCCATCCCTACTTTGCCTCACAAGTGACTGCCCACTGTCATCACCACCACAAACATTTCAGACAGCTTAGGTCCCTGAAATCTTTGTCCCAGGAAGCCGAAAGAAGGGCAACACGAAGCGCCCCTCTTCTTCTATGGTTACGAATACCGTAAGACCAGAAAGTCTCTAGTGGAGATTCGTGACCCACACAAGCTGGGAAAACGAGCAGGGCCTGGATTGGAGTCGGTTCCCGGAATTTGGCTTCCTGGATCTCCTCCAGAACGCAAAGACTCTGCGACGCAGCCACTAGGATGAACGCGGCAGCAGGGCCTAGAATCCGATAAGAACAAGAATTGTGGCCAGAGGGAACGACACAACAACAACCACAAAGACAGCGGCGAGCATCCCAGTAGCAGAAAAGCTGCGATGATAAAAGGACTGTGGAAGCTTCAGCAGCTTGAGACATTCCACTGAAGAAACTCTTATGCAATCATGTCCTATCATGCTCAGATTACTGCTCTCGCCATTGAAGTTCCAAACCAGGTCTCGACCATAACTCGAAATAAACCGAAACACATGTAAATGATGCATAACACCTATACTGTGTATTATACCCTCATGATTATGACAATGATTCTCCGAAGTCTTACAACCTGCCATGGGAAATGTGGAACTCCTCCAAGACTTTGGCCGGCAAGCTGGCAGCCTCTGGCCCACATGCTACTTACTGGTTCTGAATAGGGAATATGAGAGTATAGTATATGAGGATTATATATGGAATATGGGCACTATAGAGGGTTAAATACGGAATATGGGAACGTACTATATACAGGGATTATATATAAATGGGGAGTATATTCCTGTATGCCCTTCAAAGAAGCCGTAAGGCTGCTGTCGGGTTCAGGCCTTAAGTTTTGAGTTCAGGAGCCAAGGTCCGAATCTTGAAGTTGCATGTGCTGCAACGGGCACTTTGGGCAAAGGGCTTCAAGTTTCAGGGGTTCAGGGTAATGATGGGCGTAGTGTTAACCCTGTTAGAAGCCCAAAACAAACTCGAAGGGGGTGACAATAACGAAGCTCCCTCCCAAACATCCTGATTCTGATCATGGAATGGTTTTGGCATTGGATTCAGATGCTACAAGTATCACAGCAGGGCCCGCGCTCAACATTCGTTGTTGCGAAACCGCCCCTTTGTAGACCAAAATCGCAAAACAAGTTGCGGAGGGGGGGGGGGGGTCATTGTTGTCGAGTGTGCTTCGAGTCTCCTGATAACAAGCTTGAGCCTCGGCCCAAAGCCCTAAACTAAGTGCCCGGAACCTAAGAAAAGCAACATATTCCCGAACGAGCTTTTGTGCTGCAAGGATGGACACTATCAGCACCATGTTCGCTGTTGTACTGTAAGCTGCATCATGAAAGCTTTACCAGTACCCATACCTGTGCAGTTACCATACTTCCAGTAGATCTCGTGCTCGTTTCTAAACACTTCGCAAGAAACCCTCCACAGTTTAAGAAGCTCACAAAGCTGACAGTAAGCACCGCACCGCAAAATCCCGAATAGGCGTTGGCACGTTGCCGCTGAAGGTGCTAATGACCTGGATGCAGTCTCAGTACAGATGTCATCGAAACAGCTCTAGGAAAAATACATCTGAAGACATCCGCTGCTGCAGAAAGGCCGGGTTGTGACATGCTTCTGACTGCAGTTACTGCACTGCAATTACTCGGTAAGACAAATCTCTTCAGGGCAGCAGCGGCCAGCCAGAAAGCAAGAACGCACCGCCAGTTGAGTAATCCAGGGTTGCACCGTGGCACTCCTCATTGATTACACCAAATGCCCCTAAAGGTGCCACGGACAGGATTCATTCTTGCAAACTGGATATCAAGGCTGTCCAACGTTCTACGCTCTTCATTGGATTCCCCCGTACAACCCCTAGATTGTGGCTCGAGTCTTTCAAAGAATCCGCCCATCTCCAGCCTTCATCTCGTGCTGTCGCCGATATTCCTGAAGAGTTGAACTAGACGTGCTGGTTGAGATGGGGCCAGGAGTACATCAAGCGAAGATGGAACCCCTTGGAAGTCAAGCACACCGCTTGCACGCTAGCTGACAAGCACTAGATATACCTGTCTCCAGCGCAAACAGCATGCTCTAACTTTGTTGCAGAGGTGTGGAAGAAGATTGGCATTAACATGCACTAACAACCTTGGCATGTCTTGGATCTAACATCTTAGCATGTCGTAGCTCTTCTGGAGCAGCAATTGTTTAAGCTGAGCCTCTCTCTCTCTCTCAAGAGCCACTTCCTCCAGTCAGCTTCCCACACCACAGTCTACAAAGCACAAAGACGCGATGCTGTTCACATCTTCAACCTTTCAAAGCATCTGCACCCGGCTGTCAGTGCTGAGTGCTGCCGCGCATGTTCAAATTTGCTCCCTGAAAGCTCTCATCCCAAGCCATTTTCAACAACACTTTGTAAATGTCCATGTCATTCTAACATCCAACACAGATGCCTGGGCTTTATGCGCATCCTGAGGGCCGGAGGTCTGCCACCTGCGTGGGAAGTATGCAAGTGGGCTGCCATCAGGGGCCCCTAGGCCACTCAAGTACCCTGGGGCAACGAGTTAAAGGGTCACAGTAAATCTTTGCAAGCTTTGTGGCACGACGTGGATTGGATCGTTGTGCTGCCAACAGCAGGGGGCAGTCCAGGAACACATTCCAGTCATGCCGCTAGCCTTTACTGGCAGGTGCATGCTGTGCACTTAAATGAAGGCCTCGCTGGCATGCACTCGAAGACAGTCAGGACAGACTTTTTTTCAAAGGCGCAGCTGTTCTCTGTAGCTGGCTGCAATAGCTGCGCGTCTGCTCGTCTTGGCGAAAACCATTGCAAAAACCTTTGACTGTTGAAGCTTTCGGTCAATCGAACTTGCCTAGATGCAAAGTTCCACATCCCCTTGACCAAGAGGCTCGTTCCTCCCTTCAACTCCAACCTACTGGTACTCGTAGCCTTTCGAAACGTATGACAAGTCGCTCGGAGACAATCACACACGACAGCGCTGCAACTGTGTTGTGGCAGCAGGGCGGTGAACTGGCGAGGTCTCTTTGAGAGCAACAAGCTCCGCCCTCACCAGACCGAATCCTTCGCGTACCTTGCAATGATTTCGCTCACGGAGTAGCCCTACGAAAGTACCTGAAATGTCAGCAAACCTGACTTCGGCTCATTTCGGCCCACCCAACCCCTTCTGCAGCCAAAACCTATGAGCTAAACTGTTAGCAACCATCCAGTAACGCAAAGCAGCACTTTTCTGCCTTTTTCAAAGTATTGACTGCCGTGACGGCGAGTCCAGCGCTTTCCAGGGTGATGGCCTTCATGCACACAGAGGCCATACTAGTAACTCACAAATCCAGGCGTCTTCAACACGCGCATGCACTAACCTAACGGTCTCTTTCCCACAACGAACCTGCCTCCGCTGACTTTCCATCCAAACTGAAAATTGTCTGAAACGAAGGCAACACAAGAAGATTCCGCATTAACAAGGAGAGGCAAGGGATGCTTAGACCGCACTCCGTATAGTGACGTATACTTGAGGGACAGCCGGAGGCCAATGAAAGCTTTCTTGTAGCTCTTGAACTCATGGAGGGACAACGACTGATGGATATGTGGCTTCTTCAAAATTACATAGGGGTACCTTTAGTAAGAATCATAATATATCATAATATATCGGGGGGTCACCCTATTCATGGACACTACCACATTGATGGCTGGCAACAGGCACGCCACGGCAGGAGGGATTTGAGGTGGTGAATGCGCGGCAACGTACCCTTCCAGAAAGGATTCCTCAGAATAAGCCCGGTATGCAGAGGAGCCGTGCCTCAAAGTGCACATATGTCTGGAGGGCTGGTGCGCAGAGAAACCAGGCCTGGCGGAGGAAGCACTTTATCACACAGCAAATGAAGTTTTGCAACATGAGTGCTTTTTCAGCTGTAGCTGTATGGGCAAGACTGCTTTTAAACAATAAGGACCAGGCTTGGAAAAAGTCCATGTGCTGACGTTCACATGTTCATGCATCGCGCACTGGTATGGGCGCACCGCAAACGGAAAATCTTGCAGGAACCTCAGTGCATGGCTAACAGTGGCTAAGTTTCATGCGGGCTCGGGTGGTGCCATTCTTGGCTTGTGCCGTTTCGGACTTTTAGCATTGTTCGGATAACCACCTACTAGGGATATCTGAGGAGGAGGGGTCTTCACTACGCTACAGAACGAAAATCCATGCCCGGCTACATTCCCTACCTGAGCATTACTGTTTTCTCTTCTTGATGCGTCTTATACAAACAAGGCGTACGCAGACCACGGAAATCCGCTGTTTCTCCTGCAGTGCCAAATTATGCGGGTTCATTCATAACATCCGACCCTCTACGCAGATTCTGCGCAACATTTTTTGTTGCCTGGCCTGCTACGAAAATCAAACTACGCAGTCCGCGCCGATTAGAGAACCCACACGTGACATTGAAGGAGTACGCCCTGCAGGCCAGACACTACGCGCATAATTCAAAGTTCATGTCAATCATACAGTGGCTCTTGCATCTTGGATTTTTCTAAACAACCTGTAACCAAGGACTGCGTCAGGCAGCATCCCCCCGAATGGAATGGCGTGGATTCATTCTGAGATGTGAAGGTGGCAAAGTTGCTGTGATTCCCTCTTTCACCCCAAGGTCCGCTCAAAGAGACCCGAGAGCCTTCTTGGACACTGAGTTCGCCTGAAATCCCAAGTCTCTGAAGCCAAGCATTTTGACCTCTGACAGTTGGTTTAAAGGGCTGCCGGCACAAATGCCCCGGTGTATCAAGCCATGAATTTCAATCCAAACCTAAAACCTGATTGTCCTCAGGCCTCAAACTCAAACACCGCACCGGGCCGCAAGCCTGCAAATTATTGCCCTAAACCCCAAGCCTCTCGCGGCCACTATCCCTGCGAGCTCTGTTGGAACCAGGCACGTTGAAAGCAAGCGTCTCCAAGAATCATGAGCTTGACTGGAGAAACCGCAACATAAAGCCCGAGTTGCTCTATAAGTATGTGTGTGTATATATACATGTTGTACACATACGTTATACATATGTTGTATAGGTGATGGAAACGAGCCCTTGGACTGACATTGGTATCATAGGGATGGAAGGATGACTAAAGAATACCACTATGCAAAGAAAATGGCTGTCGCAAAGACAGTTTACATGAGCATATGTCCTCACACGTGCGGCTCGACAGCTCACTGACCAATAGCACACTGACATCAATGCAGCAGTGATTCAATGAGTGAAATGATTTTGTATATACTTGTAATATGTATCTATCATGTTGAATATGTCGAGAGTATATTATTATACTATATATTAAAAGGTACTATAAACAATCTCGATTATTTGTGCTTTTAAAGGCAGACGGAAAAACTGAATTTTCAGCATTTTACTGAACATTCTGTAGGTTTTTGCCCAAGATCCATGATTTCCGGAAAACGTGTTCTCTATGGATCTTGGACAGCAGATGACAGCAGGATAAGGATGAAAAACCGGAAGTTTCAGTATTTCACTGAAATTTTGATATTTTCTGATGTCCAAGATCCAAGATGTCCAGTAAAGTTGTTTTGTATGGGCCTTGGACACCAGGATAGGAGAAAACATTGACATTTCAGAATTACAAAATTACAGAAAAAATAACGTTTGCTGGAAATCTTGGATCTTGGACACCAGAAAATACTGAAATTTCAGTATCTTACTGAGATTACGGCATGGTCATGCCTATCCTGGTGTCCAAGATTAGCAGAAAACATGTTTGCTGGAAATCTTGGAGCTTGGATCTCGGGCATCAGAAAAATCTTGAAATTTCAGTCTTTTGCTGAAATGTCAATATCTTCTTTGCATTTTAAATATAGAAGCATAGGTTTTGGGGGGTACCATATATGTATATTTAAACCCTCTGCATGGGGATTTTCAGAGAGGAGCCCCTAACCTATTGAAATCACCAACTGGGTTCCAGATCTCAGCTTGAAGCCTGGCAGCGGCTTCACAGACCTCACGAAGCCACCTGGCAAGCTAAAACTCATTGTTGCCTTACTATAGTCCCCCTCAAGTAGATACAAGATACAATATGGGGTATATGCAGATCTTAGTATAGTATCCCCAAAACCATATTCTATCTACTTAAGGGGGACTAAAAGGCTAGAACTGTTATGTATACTTGCTCTTGCTGTGTTTTAGCAGATTCTCAATGTCTGGGCCTGTTGGGATCCTCCTTTGAGAGCTGGCAGCGCTTTAACGCAAAATGGCACAAAAATGAAGGGTGATTTGATGTTCAGGGTCAGGGGCTCAGGCTCGGGGAGGGCGGAAATTGTGGCGGCGCCTACTTGGGGCTCCATGCAGTTAAGGCTGGACAATTTGTGCGCCTACCGCATCCTTGTGTCTTCATGGCCCAAGCTAATTTAATCCAAGTTTGGTTGAAAGTGGAAAAGGTTTAATCTGCAGAAGGCTCAATTTCAAGGCTCTGTCAAATCAACCAGAAAACGTCATCCTGAACGACATCCTGACATCTCTAATTAGTCACTCTGACCTTATAAATCCTATTCCACTCTCAGCCATGAACTCGAAAACTCCATCCCACCCAACTTCCCGCCGTGGGCCTTCGATCGCCGTGGCGCTGCACTGGCCCTGGCCCTGGATGCGGCTTCCCGACCCGCGCGCCGCGGCACGTAGAACCTGCCGGATTCCAGCAAGGTTTGCGGAACCACGGTTTTGCCAACTGCTAAGAAACAGGAGCCATGATCACAAGACTCACAAGCACATTGAGAGTGTACAGCCTCAAAGCCGATATCCGTGTTACACTCCGCCGATGCCAGGGCCTGTCTTCAGTCAGGATACCCTTTTCCCACATCTACATACATGAGACTTTCAAATCCTAACAAATCCCAACAACATCATCGATGCTCAGGCTACGCACGGATAGGACGAGATACAACTTCAAGAACCCCACAGGTCGCGCTGCGGTGGCTGCAAATTGGGCTGGCCTTGCTGTCGGTGCTTGCATGAGCAGCTGCCGGGACGGGGATTGTCCGCGAAGTCTTTGCTCGGGGTGCATCCGCTGCCAGGGGCACGATACCTGGGTAGCTGGCACTGAGTCATGCTACAACTGCTGCGTCACTATGTCTTCAGGCTCCATGAGACAGCGGCCGTTAACACGGATGGTCTTCATAACCTGCGCTACCATGTCTCAGGTTGGGACAGCAAATTGTGGAGACATTGGTGCAAAATCCAGGGCCTTCGGCACGCCCTCGGCAAACCCCCACCAGGTCCTATCAAACGTCACTGAGGGGATTATTAGTTGCAGCAGCTGTTCCAGGTCAAGGGGATACTATGCCCCATGTTGACCCTTCAAGCTTCTACAATTCAAGGAACAAGCCTGACGCTCCCTGCCTGCGTTCCTTTTGAACCATCGCGACAGATGCTTCTGTGCTATGGCCACTCATAAGAGGTAGGTATGTGAGCAACTCGCGCCAGCAAAGCTTGCGCATGCCGTGGGTCCAATGTCTTGAGCATCCACGGACTGTCAGCAACCGCCACGAACAACTCCTCCATAGCTCCCTGGAAATCTGATTCAGATTCGAAGCAGTCCAGCAATGGAAGCAGCAACCTCCAAGCCATAGCCTTCTGCAGCCCCTGCCAGTGACCCTCTTGCAAGACAGTCTGTGTGGCTGGCAGTGGTTCCAGCAGCGGCCGCTCCTTCCCCAGACGGTCCCGCGCATGGTCAAAGAGCACCTCCCGCGCCGCCACACTTTCAAGGGAAGCCTTCTTGGCCTCCGCAGCATGGCCAACCGCGGGACCCGGCCGCACAGCAGCGCCGAAGCGCGTCAGCGCCGGGGCTTGAGCCGCGGAGCGCTCGGCAGAGGCCTCCCGAAATGCCTCTTTCCAGAGTCTGTGCTTGCCATAGAGCAGCAGGAACCACTCGAGGTCACTCAAGTTCACAGTACTGGCAGCCGCCGAGTGGAAAGCGTCTGTCCACAAGGAGGAAGCCTGCATGGCTGGAAGCAAGGGCAGCGCTCTTTGCGGATCCTTCGCGCAAAGGCATAGCAAGGTGTCTGTTAGCAAAGGCACCACCACTCCGTCTAAGGCTGACCGAAGGAACCTCCACTCATCACCTTGGCCTACCTGGTGCAAGAGGCCAAGCAAGCCACTGGAGTCCTCGCTTGGAAGACCTGTGAGCTTCGAGAGCCCTGCGCTCGCCCTTTCGATTGGGGTGCTGGCTGACGCATCCCTGGCAACCAACCAGAAAACCAGCAGGCAGAGGACGACAAAGGCCAATTCCTCAACATCTGCTTCCTCGCGCACGCCTGCAGGTGCAGAGTCCACAACAGCCTCTTGCGCAGAAGAATCATCTATTCGAAGTGCTCGATGCACCAAAAAGGTGATGGCCGAGAAGGCCTCCTCAGGAAACCGCGTCCAAAAGGCAGAAAAGCCTCTCTTTACGACCTCCGTCAGAGGAGTCGCATCACCTCGGCAGGTTTGTGCAACTGCCTCAGCGACGGCTTGGGGGCCAGCACTGCGTCCCAGCCGCAGCATCAAGCTAGCCAAGGCCTCACGTCGCGGCTCTGGCCTCAAGACTTGGCAGTGCTCCAAAATCACCTCCACAGCGTCCTCCCGCAAGCACCTGTCCTGCCAAAGAGGACCGGAGGCCACGAGCAGCAGCTCAGACACATGCATGCTGACAATGTCGTCCACATCCACAGAGGTTCTCAAATGATCCTCCAAGACGTTCTTCTGCCAAACTGCGAAGTATGCAGCGAACTGCTTCAGTGCAAATGGTTTGCCTGGCTGTGCATTCCGCAGCCAAGACCGAAGCAGCTCGAGAGCATCTTTTCCTCGCTGCGGCTCCCATGCTGCTGCAATGAGGAAAGCCTGCAGCTGCCCAAACTGCTGCGATACGCTGGATGCCTCCTCGCATCCGACTTCTGGCGACGGCAGCGGCCGCAATCTTTGCAGCAGCTGCAGAACCTCTTCCCTGACTGCTGCTTCGACATCCTCGTTCAGATTTGCAGGATCTGGCGCGAGGCGACCGCACAGCTTGCGCGTGCGCCAGGCGGTGTCCTCAGCAGACTCCTCCTCCGCGCAAACGTCGCCTTCACCCAGTCGCGAAGTTTTCTCGCGGCTTTGGCCATCCTCAAGGAGTCGCTCCACCAGCCACTCCTTTAAGCAGTGCAGCTCACCGAAACAGCGATCAGCCCAATCGCTATTGCAAGAGGGCATCAGAGCATCGTAGTTTCCAGAGCAAAACCCGTAGATGGAGAGCTCCCTCAGATCCATCTTACTGCCAGGAAGAAGGTTTCGCGCCGCTGCATCGAAGCATTCCTCCTTCCACACTCGTCGCCAAGGATTACCCTGGCTGCCCTTTGTGAGGTGGCAACCCAACTCAGTCCAGTCCGAGTGCTCTTCCTTCATGGTGGCCAGCATCTCCTCCATGGCCTCATCGATACCAGGCATTGGGGCTGATTCGTACTGACCCTCGGGCTCCTCGCAGAAAGGAAGCATGCCTTGTAGCAGGGCGGTTCGCCATGCCTGGCCATTTTCTGCGCACATCTTCATTGCAGTGCTCAGCTCACCACGGCGGAGGCAGGTCCAGAGGTCGGCAATCAGCTGACGCTCATCTTCGATGTCAGCACACTCGAAAATCTCTCCGCGTTGAAGCGGGCCATCCGGATGGAGGGACTGCTCCTGGAACGGCCCAGGAAGCCGACCATGGAGTTGAAAAGATCTTCGAGTCCGGTCATATCCGGCGTTGTAGACAAAGCCTTCCTCCACCGACCTGGCTGCCTTTGGTGAGAACCGATGAGACCAGCGCAGCCACCGAAGAACAGCACAAAGCGCTCGCATGCTGTGGCTTTCCATGAAAATATGCCTGAGTGCAACCGCTTCAGAGGTCCAGGGCTTTGGTGCCCAAAACTGCGCAAATCTCTCACGCTCAGCTTCAGCAAGCGCCAAGCTGCTCAGAAGCATCCATGTGTTGAATACCTCCCAGCGCAACTGCGCATTGGAGTCCTTCCACTCCTCCCAAGCTAGGTGAGTGTACGGCTTGAGGCTGCTGAGCCGCTGCTCGGCAGGCCACTCCTCTGGAGGCTCGACCTCCATCGCTCAGCTACAAGTTCAGCCGGGCATTTGGGCCAGGCTGCAGCACTCGAACAAGCTTCATGGCATATGCTGTGAGCAGGCAACCCTTGCAAATCCATTGCGGCTCGGGACGGTCCTTGCCAGTGCCAGGACCTTGGTCACTGACAGAGAGAGGCACATGACTTTGACGCCCCAGACTCAGGATTGACCTTTCAACTGATCGATCGTCATGACGTGCTGACAGTACAGAGTTAGACCTGGTTGGCATTGTGCGCGTGAGCACAGAGGTTCTTGCCGCATCTTTCTCGTGCTCTGCAACCTCAGCACATGAGCACTGTGCAAAAAATCTGCAACCACAGAAAAGGGCACCCTAGGAAACTCCATTACGCTGGTGTTGATCTTTGTGAGCAAATCCCTACGGAACACTGCAAAGGCGCAACCTAACAGCGAAGTGCCTGTAAATACGCTGCCCAAGCGAAGACCTCTTGCCACTTGCCGACATTGTATTATAACTACCTTTAGCCACATCCGGCACGCTCGCGCGCGCGGAGCTCTACAGGATGCCCTTGTTTGAATAAAAAGCCATGGAATCCTTGCAACTTCCATTCCTCGCTGCCACTCACTGCAACAGGCTGCGGCTACATCTCTATAGATAGAGGCACTCCTGAAACATCCCAAAAAAACAAACCGTTGTGGAACCATTTTTGCTCCTAAACGCAACCCGAAAGTCCACCCGCCTTGTCCAAGCGGCGGAAGATGGGGATGTTTAGATGCCACCTGTTCGGTCATCACTTCAACAGCTTTCTTCTTCTTGGTCGAGTGCTGATAGGCGTGAAATGATCATTGATTCGATGAGAACTAATTACATGCCTCCTGCCATAGAAGCAAAGAGATTTGGTATCGGACTGCCGCAGCATTTTTCCCGAATTGACATCCATCACGGAAAGGCGGAAAAACGAAGCAAACACCAAGTGTACCAAGAATAGCTTTGAGGCAGGATTTGCAAGCGCAAGTTATCGTACTCAGCTGGCCCCGACGTGGCAAAAAAAACTCATGCGAGGCCTCCCCTATGAGGGGCGAACCCAGCTCTCAAGGCTGCAAGAAGTCATGAGCTACGCACCACACTTTTTAGATTAAGTGCGGATAAAAGAAGTGTTTACATGTAGGTACTATCTCAACCTACCATTGTCATTCCATTGATCATATGCTTATTTGGCAAGTTCACTGCATGAGCTAAACTGTTTCTGGCAAGATTTGCCGAGGCCGCGGCATGGCTGAACGGGGCTGGCCAGCAGAGCAAATCGGAGAGGTCAGATGTGCTCTCTCTGCAAGTTGGGGACCCGTGCAGGAGGCAATTTCATAATGTTGTCAACACGCTTAGACCTCCGCGCAGTGCTGTAACCCAGCGTACCCTAACATGCGCTTCAATGTGGAACAAACTGTGAGCTCAAGCTCCGAGGCTGATGGCAGACACCATGTCTCAAAGTGAGCTGGCGCTTTGAGGCGTGGCTGAGTTCATTTCAGGCAGTGAGCAGAACGGAAGGGATCATTTCCTCTGGCCTGCTAGTCACAGCCTGGCATGACAATCGCTGACTCCAAACTGGCACAAGCCTTCCAGGATGAAAACGAACCTCACTACTGTGTACACCCAAACAAGCTGAAATTCAGCTGCTCGGACAAAAGCCTGGCCCCTAGCGCAGGAGGATGTCTAGACTTTTGGCCTCGCGCCAATCCTGACACAACAACAGCCGCCGCCAGCTTCATGGGTCGTTGTTGAAATCATGGCTCCTTTTTGGACTGACCGGAGGCCATGCTGATTTTCCATTTACGGTAGCACCGTCCCTCTAAGCATAGCAAGCGAAAAATGCTCAACCCACTTCTCAAGTCTGCATGTAGTGTAGCTCCGTGCAACTGGCATGTTTCGGCTAAGTCTCAGAAGCTTCGTTGTGCTACACCTTGAGAATCTAGTCTTCAAAAAAAAGTCTCATGAGATCAACAGCTGCCCACAAAAGCCGGCACCGCCCGGGCTCAGAGGTTCAGAGGCTGGAGCGGGGTCCTTCCCCAGCGGACCTGGGCAGCTGAGAGTTAAGGGGTGCGGCGGCATCAAGATCTGAGACAGGACAAGCAATCCAAAAGACATACCTCTGTCTGAAGTTGTCTGGCACCTTACTTCAGATGCAGAGAGAATTCCACAAAATTCCACAAACAGTGATTGCATTTATGGGGTACTGCGAGGTTGGAGCTCTGCGGGGCTTCGATGATGGCTCAGAAGACTTGCCAGGCTCAGGGCTCATACAACATATTGAGATTCCAGGGGGGTTAGAAATGCTTTGTCATTGTCATTGCTTTCTTTCCGTGATAGACTTGTCGCAGGAGCTCGTGCACTTTGAGTGGATTGAAGTTGACAAAAACAATGCAACATCTGAGCCTGTTCTACACTGCTGTATCTGCACAACAGCCCATGCAGCTGTCTGAGCATGGATCTTTCCCTGGCACCCTCAATGTGAAAGACTGGTCAAATATGTCAAAGGAATGCTGCAGGGCTTCGGACCTTTCACATTCTGGGCGCAGAGTGCCAAGACAACTAGCTCCGCCACGTCGTCCCTGCTGTTCGCGTCGCACGGAGGAATCCAGCATGCCCTATCAGAATGATTGGGGCAACTTGAACATCATCTCGCTGACTTGTTCATCCTCCAGCTGCCACGTCGCACATATCGCGCATTGTCGTACTTTCAGATGCAGAAGTCATCTGATTCATCACGAGGCGGATGCTTCAAGTGACGCTAAGAAGCCTGGCCAGAACTCCGCATGCAGCTTCTCTGCATCCTCAGCCAGGAAGGGACCTTCCACCGCTATTCGGCGCTTGCCCTTTGCCAGCGTTTCGCGGCAAGATGAAAGAAAGTCATCTCCTGCATGCCGCGCCAGCCCTGCCTCCGGGCATGCATACACGACACGATCAATCATGAAGGACCAGTAGATAGCGCCGCAGCACATGATGCATGGCTCTGTGCTGGTGAACAATTCAAACGAGCAGCCATCAAAGCGCTGGGTGGTCTGTGCAGCTGCAGCAGCCGCGCCAAGTAGCCGGACGCCGCACATTTCAGCATGTGCAGAAGGATCATTGTCGGTGACGACACGGTTCTCTGCGTCAATTGTCTCCACCACCTCCCCATCTGAGCGGCGTCGGGCCACGATGACGCAACCGAAGGGGTGGTTCCCGTTCTCAACAGCCCGCCGGGAGCATTAAATGGCGCGCTGGAGAAGCGCTTCGTCTGCCTTGGACAGGCCAGCGTCCCAAGTAGCACTGGCCATGCCGTCTTGAGCACAAGTGTCTAGCCAACGTAATCTTTCATGAGGGACGGGGACTGCACACACTCAAACAATCATGACAGGTGGCACAACTTTCACAGGGACTTCTCTTGGTCATTGGCTGGTGCGGCACCACGCTGCAAACAAAGTTCGGGGATGGCACCTCGTACCTGGCATGACTGCAGGTGGCAAAGTTGTGGAAGCTTTTACTAGCTAAATCTCAGTGGATGCGAAAACCTAGCTACCTGCTTGTGGATGGCTTCAGTACAGCATCAACACTGTTCGCCCGTGATGGAAAGCGATGCCCGGCGCGCTCATTGCCCGTCCACTCCAGCTTGCCGGTTGCCAGGTTGAATCTGAAAACCGAAATGTTGTCGGAGTCCTTCGCAGCTGCGGGCTTGTGAGAACTCATGACTCGTCTAGAGGCTACCACAAGAAGTTGACGGGTCCTGGTTTGCAGTGATGAGCCATTGGCCCGAGCTATCAAACTGGAAGTGCCTTGCAGCCGAATTTCATCATGTCAGCCCCTTGCTTGCACCGAAAATCCGTAAATTCAAGCACTACAGCGCAGCATGCCTGGGAGTCGCTCCTCGCGTGTGCCTTGGAAATGCCAGGCGATATCAGGCGACGTCTCAATCTCTCAAACACGGGCCAGGGCTCAGGAAATTGCTGCTGGGCTCGCTGATCTATTCTCTGTAGATTGGACTGAAGCAGGATGGTGTGGGCTACTTGCCATGGACTTAGCGATGAGACGCGTGCGCCAGTCAGGTGAGCCATGGTTTTTATTCCTATATAATTTCACTACCATATCAATGCCCTTCCGCGGCGGCCTTCCGCGGACCTTCCGCGAGTCTTGGCTGTAGTCTTTTTTGCTTCCGCCTTCCGCGGCTCCTGCCGCGAAGTGTTTTCGGTAGATTTTCGGGACCTTGCTTCCGCGAGTCTTCCGCGAAAGGGCCCCGAAGACTACCGCCCAGGCTCGCGCGTA